CGCTGGTTTTACGGGTCGCTGATTCTACGGGTCGCTGGTTTTACGGGTCGCTGGTTCTACGGGTCGTTGGTTCTACGGGTCGCTGGTCCTACGGGTCGTTGGTCCTATGGGTGGTTGGTCCTACGGGTCGCTGGTCCTACGGGTCGTTGGTCCTACGAGTCGTTGGTCCTACGGGTCGCTGGTCCTACGGGTTGTTGGTACTACGGGTCGTTGATCCTACGGGTCGTTGGTCCTACGAGTCGTTGGTCCTACGGGTCGCTGGTCCTACGGGACGTTGGTCCTACGGGTCGTTGGTGGTGCACGCAGGCACACGTAATTTTTTTCTTTAATTGTTTGTTAATTTAATTCATATTAATTCATATTTGGGCATTCACTCTACCCCTCTTACTAATAACCGTAGAACCAACGACCCGTAGGACCATAGATCGGTTCCCGCGCGAGGAGTGCAGAAGAAGATACAGAAAGAGGTTCCGAGTAACTGCAGACAGAGGGGTCAGGGGGGTGCAGGAATAAGAGGAGCAGAAGAGAGCAAGGAGAGAAGGGGCAAGAGGGGAGGTGATTAGTCGGGGGAGCAGCAGGACGGGTGGGCAAGGGGACAGATGGAAGGATAAGAGGAGGAGGAGCAGGAGGAGGAGCGAGAGAAGAGGAAACGCAGCGGACGCAGCAGTACGCTCCCTCCCCCCGCTAGCAGAGAATGATGGCAGGTTGTTACACAGGACTTACACAAACGCACACTCTGATGCAGCAGCCGCAAGTGGATATTTCTCGCGCTTTATTAACGAACCTCTTAGCCCCCCGTCACAGGAAGCTAACGAGTGCGTGCGAACATTCGTCGAGTGCCAGCCACCTGAGAGCGTAATGAGCGATTTCTAGATCGATACAGATATGCATCCTGTTACTTGATCCTGTTACATATGTACATGTGGAAGGCAACGCGGCGTTCCATTACCATGATGGGCGCATAGAGATCACAGTCTATTATTAGCACAGATGTGTTTTCATTTCCCGCTTTAAGTTATAAAAATTAATTTTTCACATGCATTGTTTTAGTTGGTACATAGCGTAATAAGTTGATTAACTGTATTAGTAATGCGCAAATCGCAGAAAGGTAAATCTGCAAAACACCTGAAAATGCTTTGCTCGTGAGCGGATGGTATATGCGTGTGAGGTGGAGAGCACGCAAGCGCGGGTGGGTGGCAATACAAAGACAATACAAAGACAATACGCCCACGCACCGAACAAACACGCAGTCACACACAAAAACATATAAATACATACAAAAAACATACATACATCAAATACATAGATACATCAAAACATCAAAACAAAAACATATAAATACATCAAAGTAGAAGTAAATATAATTCGTTTCATGATCAATATAACTAATCCTGCTCTGCAATAACGGAGGACATGATTTTGGAAATGGTTCGTTTTTATCTAAGTAATTGTCGCTAGTGCTAATATTACGCGCTGGTTATTCACATCGCATCAACGTTGGAGTGACCAACGTGGGCGACCTCCTCACATGTTTGTAGTTTCTCAAGCTCCTTCCCCACCTCCTATCTCTCTCGTCATCTCTCCTTCTCTCTCTTTGTCGCTCCGTCTTTCTCTTGCCTTCCATCCCATTCTCTTGTTCGCTCCCCGTCTCGCACGCCCCGTTTCTCTCCCGCCATCTCTCTCGCACTCACTCTTTCTCCATCTTCACTCTCTCGCACCTACTCCCCCCCTCTCTCTCTCTCTCTCTATATATATATATATATATATAATATATATATTCATGCCGGCACTTTTCGATGAATGACGACTAATTCATAAACACGAAGTTCTCTTTTCAACACAAGTGAATTATGCCTAGCACAAGATGTGCTTGATTTCTAGCAATGCTCGCTCTCACAGTACCTGTCGCCATGGAATCACACGATGTGATTAATGTCTCTAATCCGAACTGATAAATCATTGCCGAATGTGGCAACAACAGTACATGACGTTTGCAGATATTCTCGGTAGCATCCTGATACCAATATATAATGATTTTAACTAGTATGACGTCAGCCCCGATGGCTGTTGAAAATATGCGGGACGTCGTCAGCTACCATGCGGCTTAATTTGCTGTCTCTCTCTCTCTCTCTCTCTCTCTCTCTCTCTCTCTCTCTCTCTCTCTCTGTCTCTCTTTTTCGCCTTCTCTCTCTTTCTCGCCTCCTCTTTCCGTCTGCCCTTCGCTCCCTGCGTATGTCTTGCTCACATGTGCGCGCTCTTTCCTTTTTTAATTTACCCCTTTCTCTCCCACGATCTCTCCCTCTCTCTCTCTCCCTCTTCCTCCCCCTCGCTCTCCAAGTCTCTGTCAATGGCGCGCTCTCTCTCTCTCATCCTCATGCGCTCTCGCTCTAGTTCGATCTTTTTCTCCTTCTGCGTCGCTTTCTCACTTCCCTTTGTGTTTCTCGCGCTCTCACCGTTTTCTCGCTCATTCTTTCCTCTCTCTTCACTTCTTTCTGCATGGCTGTGTCGATTCGTTTCTCGCTCCCAATACGCATATAGATTTATTAATCGAATTCTCCGTAGTCACCGCATGCAGTGTCTGCGGTCGTGAGCCACTTATGCAGTGTTTGAAATATTCTATCTCCAGATTGGCAATAGTTCTCTCGCGGAATTGGTAATAGCAGTCGTCTCCGGGTTTAACTAAATGTCGCAGAATGCTTACGAAATGTTTCGTGTTGCGGGTAAGTGACCGATATTACAATCGATTTCATCTTATTTCATCAATCTTATTCAACGACCTAGTACGTTCGCCGAGTCCTGTGCGTGTCCGTGCGTGCGTGCGTGCGTGTTCGTACGTGCGTGCGTACGTGCGTGCGCGTGTACGTGCGTGCGTGCGTGCGTACGCGTGCGTGTGCGTGCGTGCGTGCGTGCGTGAGTGCGTGTGTGCGTGTACGTGCGTGTGTGCGTGCGTGCGTGCGCGTGCGTGAGCATGCATAACTATCTGATTATCTACATTGCTTCTACCGTCGAGATGACCTATTATTATTATTATTATTATTATTATTATTATTATTATTATTATTATTATTATTAGCATGTATGTGCTAGATGATGATACTGTGGAGTGGGGCTCGTGCAATCATACAGGAACTCTGGCCCAAAAACGCCTATCGGTTTCGAAAAGTGACAATGTAAAGATGCATAATTAATCAGCGGCAGAAGTGTTTACACACGCACTCACTCATGCAGGTATCTAGGCTACTATATAATAGTAGAATGTGCCGAAGTGTCGTTTTCCGTATCTCCTCCGAAACCGTGCCGCGTGTGCTCACGCAAATCGAGCTGAGGCCCCTTCTGGGCGTCGCGAATACATTCCGCTACGGTAGAACGCGATTTTTCGATCGTAAAGTGACTTTTGGAGGCAATTTTCTAAAAAGTTATGTGCCTGAAGAAACTTCGGCATTCATCGGAAACCCGCACCAAATTTTAGGATAGCCAAATCCGCATGCGCACACACGCACACACCAAAGCCATTGCGGCTGCGGTGTATAAACAACCAAGCACTGCCGCGCACAGCTGCTGTGAGGCGAAAATTTAAGGCAAACCCCAACGAGAGACGGCTGCAGCTGTATGTGGGTGTATGTGTATGTGTGTGTGCGTGTGTGCGCGTGTGTATGTGGCCGCGCTTACCCAGCTCCCAATGCTCTGACATTTTTTAGAAGCCGTTTCGATTGTCTAAGAGCACACACACACACCACACTATATATACCAGGCCCGTAGCCAGGGGGGGGTTCGGGGGGTTCGAACGACCCCCCCCCGAGCC